TAATAGAAATATATTTTTCAAGTCACTGAAGTCTGAAAATATCTTTGTTCTACATGCACTCTTGATTGACAAATTGGCTGGGTATAAAATTACAGGTAAAAAATCCAATGAGATAGGTACTATTATTATCTGCATTTTGAAGGTAAAAAAGCTTATCTGAAAGTTTAAGTGACTGAGCTGAGATTTAGCTCCAAATATTATTCTTTTAACCATCAGATTAGGTGCCTCTTTAGTTGGCTCAGCTCATAAACCAATTCTGATCTATTTATAGTAGTGTCAGACACATATTGTTGAGAAGAATTCTAGGGCAGCATTTAGTTCCATAGTAAAAAACAAAACAAAACAAACAAACAAAACTACCTTGATTGATTAATGATATCTGCCACAAGCTCAGGAATGGGGAGTTGGGTTATTTTCTTTTTTTTTTTTTATTTTCTTTTTAAACACTGCTTAATCATTCCTAAAAGAAAGAGATTGTCTTTGGGGTTATACATAGCTCTAGTGCTTTTGAAATTAGGGCATGTTGACATCAAAAGTGTTTAAAGGCTGCTTTGTTTCTTTGCTGTAGTAGGAGAATTTTTTAACAGCCTGTTTATAATTTATCTGAGAGAAGCACTGGTAATTAGGCATCTGATCGCTTCTCTGATTCCCTTGCTTCTTCCTTTTCTTGTGACAAAAACAGAAAGTCAGGAAAATGATCACATTGCATCATGATACCAGTGGGCCATATAAAAAACCATATGATGTTGTTTTTCCAATCATGGGTTTCCTTAACAGCCAGCATTTCGACACTTCCAAATACCCCTCCCATCCATCATTAGCAATGACTGTAGGACTGGTCTCTTTACTAACCTTTCTATGTCCCAAGGAGCTTTACAACTTGGCTTCATCTGCAGGGCAGCCCAGCCTTTAAAGGAATTATGTTCTTTTCCCAGAATATCTATTAAACAGAACTTAACCCAGTTTGAAGAGAGGTATAAAGCAACTCTCTCCCGTCTCTCCTCACTTTTCGAAGTGCACTTTTACACTCAAGACCAGCATCTACTTGTTGAGGAAAATTCTATAAAGTGTTCATTTTTCCCTTTCTCATCCTTTAGCAATTTTTTTTTCCAGCACAAATCATACACATTTACTGAGAATTCTGGGACGGCTACTATCTCCTCTTAACTACAAGGCAGGGAACCAAGCAGAGAAAAAAAAAAATCACCAATAAATCCCATGGCTCTGATACCACTGGCTGAGCAAAGGGAAGAGGGTGGTTGCTCGGGGAAAGTTCTTATGAGGCCCATGGAGGTTTTCTGGGCTGGGTCTGCACTGCTGTGCGGTCACTTCTTTAGTGGTGGTAAGCGGGGACCACTCTCCAGTTGCAGCGCACAGGTTTCTCATTGTGATGGCTTCTCTCATCGCGGAGCACGGGGTGCACCGGCTTAGTAGCTTGGCAGCACAAGGGATCTTCCCAACCCAGGGATCAAACCCGTGTCTCCTGCATTGGCAAGCAGATTCTTTGCCACTGAGCCACAAGGGAAGCCTGCCAGTGGGGTTTTGAAGGAGGCATGTCGGAAGAAATCCCCTGACACCAGGGATGGCAGCTGGGGTGAAGGCTTCTCTTTCCTACCAGTGGCTCCTCTATCCAATTTCTTGAAGGGGCTCCTTCTGGTCTGTGATGAGGTCTTCTTCCTGGAAGCTCCACAGGGCACCAAAGGACAGCCGAGTGTGGCCCCAGGTTGTAAAGAGCATCTTGGAGAGGGCAGAACTGCTCAGACTGTGCCCATTTTGCAGTGGACAGGGCTCCCACTTAGCTATGCCCCAAGCATCCCCCATCAGGATGAAGAAGGAAGACCTTGGGCTGCTTCCTGCACATTTGCTGCAGGTTGGCAGGCCCCCACAGAGCTTCCTGAGGGACCTTCCCCACTTCTGCTGCCCAGTCCATGACCTTCCTCTGAGGGGACCTGGCTGCTGCACCCAGGAAGGAGGCACATCCCACCGTTTTATTGAGTTGGCACCTCCTGGAATGGTGTCTGGTCTGTGATCACATGAAACGTTCACACATAAGATGAGAAGCGTCCACCAGCCCTCTACCATTTGCTGTACCCCATAATTTATGATGTTCAAGTTCAACCCCAGAGAGCCCCCTCCCAGAGGAGTCCCAGGGACCTGCCATGATCTTGGCACACAGCAGACCCATAGCCAAAAATGCCCCACCTAAACGCATCTTCAAAGTTCAGACCCTTGCTGGATATTCCATTTCTGCTGTTATTTATTCTAATTTTTGTTAATGTGAAATCATATATGTACGGTTTAAAAACAATCCTAAAGCCAACTCCCTAGCGCTCATAACTCAGGTGAAGAAATATCACATTAGCAAAGCTTTGGGGCTTGTGTTAGTTTCCCATGATTGCTGTAACAAATTATCATAACCCAAGTGACTTAAAACAAGGGGAATTTACTCACCTCCAGTTCTGGGGGCTACAAGTCTGCAGTCAGGGTGTCTGATGGTTCCTGAGGGAAGTCTTTTCTTTTCCTGGCTTCTGGTGGCTCCCAGCAATCCTTGACACTCCTTGGTTTGTCCCTGCATCACTCCAATCTCTGCTTCCATTGTCACCAGCCTCCTTCCTTCTCCTTTCTCTTATAAAGACACCAGTCATTTCATGGAAGCAACATAAATCCATCAGCAGAGGAATGGATAAAGAAGATGTGGTACATATATACAATGGAGTATTATTCAGCCAGAAAAAGACTGAAATAATGCCATTTGCAGCAACAGTGGATGAACCTAGAGCTTATCACAGTAAGTCAAGTCAGTCAGACAGAGAAAGAGAAGTATTGTATGAATCTAAAGAAATCATGCGAACAAACTTATTTACAAAACAGAAACAGACTCACAGACTTGGAGAACGAACTTATAGTTACCAGGTGGGGTGGGCGGGGGAAGGATGGGTGGAAAGATATTTAGGGAGTTTGGGATCAACATGTACACACTGCTATATTTAAAGTGGATAACCAACAAAGACCTACTGTATAGCACAGGGAACCCTGCTCAACGCTATGTGGCAGACTGGATGGGAGGGAAGTTTAGGGGAAAATGGATACATGCATATGTATGCCTGAGTCCCCTTGCTGTCCACCTGAAATCATCACAGAGTGTTAATCAGTCTGTGCTGTGCTGTGCTTAGAGGTTCAGTCGTGTCCAACTCTTTGTGACCCCCATGAACTGTAACCTGCCAGGCTCCTCTGTTCATGGGATTCTCCAGGCAAGAATACTGGAGCTGGTAGCCACTCCCTTCTCCAGGGGATCGTCCCGACCCAGGGACTGACCTCGGATCTCCCGCATTGCAGGCAGAGTCTTTACTGTCTGCCACCAGGGGAAGTCCAGCACAGCCTGTTGTACAGATGCAGGCGCAGGGACGAGGCCTCTCTTTGCTGCATCTACTGCGAGAATGAAAACCATTTTTAGCAACAGGCAGTTGACAATCCAGAGAATGTAGACATCGCTTGGGAGGGATACACAGGTGTTACAAAGGGCCCCAGAGGAGGCTGCAGAGGAACTTCAATCACATCTGTGTAGAACTCTGTCTCCTTAGAAAGAAAAAGAAGAGGCTCTGGGAGGACAATGGTGGAGAAATAGGAAGGAAGCAGCTATGGTTTGGACTGTGTTGCCATGTACAGACTGTAACGGAGGGTGCAAGCCTGGCTTCTGTTTCAAGAAGAGGTGTGTGTGCCCATCCCCATCACTGCTGTCATCCAGGAGGACGGGTCTCTGGCTGAAATCTGGAAATTCTTGGATGAGGAAAATGTCAGCAGTGCTTAAAAGTATTTGAACCAGGAATTGCTTGTTCAGTGTCTCAAGTCCAGAGAGAGGAGTTAATTCTTAAAGGTAAAGACATTGGCCTTGTATCAACTTTAGGGTGTGCCTTTGATTCTGCAAGCCACAACAGTTAAAAGGATACCAGGACACTTTGGGATGGTATCTCAGTCTCTGAAAATTGAACATTTCAGCAGGCGGATGGAGATCTAAGAGCTGGAAATAACTAGATGGTGGATGATTCTTAAGACCTAATCCTAATATTTGAATGATGTAGTAAAGGCCTTCTGTTGAAGAATCAAAAGGACAGGGAGGTTAAGCTATTTGTGCAAAGTAACTCTGTGAGTGGGTAGCAGAACTGAATCTAAACCCAGGCAGGTGGACTCCCAAATTCACACCCTTACCCACGTGCAACCTCTCCCTGCTGGTCTTCAGGCGGTGAATCAGACAGATCGCTCCTCAGTGGGAAAGCCAGAAGAGTCCAGAGCTCAGCTGGGGTCAGTCATGGCTCCAGATAATCCGATGGTGCAGAAGATGGAGATCAAGCAGAAGAGGGCAAACCTGCTGGCAAGAGCACCAGTGTGCTTTCCCCAAGAGCACTAAGGGAAAGCAAGCAACTCAGGGCAGGTGAGGGTGGAGTTATCAGCCAGGGCTGCAGCAAAGAGCCCAAAGCTTTAAAAGCATTCAGGCCTCTGTGAACTGTTGGGGTTTACAGGTAAGACATCGCTTGAGTCTAGCAAGTGCTGGTCTCATAGCTCCTTCCTACTGCACTCAGCTGTTCCTCGCCAGGCCCAGCACCACATCTAAGCTCCCACCTCTGGGTCTCTGTACCTTCATCCTCCATCTGGAACAGCCTTCTGCAGACATCCTTGCTCCCCTCAGGCCTGTGCTCCAAGGAGGCTCAGGGAGGGAATGTGCCTCTCTTCCCCACTTGCCTCTCTTCCTCACTCTCCCCTTGCTGTGTGGATGGTGTTTTCCAAAGATGCCACAGCAATCTCTTCCATCCCATGTTCTTTCTCCCACCCCTTGAATCTGGGGCCCCCGTCACTGCTCTAACCAACAGAATACAGCAGAAGGGATGCTGATCCAGCCCCCAGGCACGTCATTGCCCTGGCTGCCTCTGCTTCCTGCTTCACGGAACACTTACTCCTGGAGCGCTCCTTCTGGAGCCAAGCTGCCTGGCTGAGAAGCCTGGGCCATGTGGAGAGGCCACCTGGAGACGTGCCGGGCGGCAGCCTGGTCAAACTCCCAGCTGGCGGTCAACATCCACGGCAGCCAAACGAGCAAGGTACCTCGATGTCCAACCCAGCCGGTCCTCCAGATGACTCGAGGCCAGTCCAACATCTGGCTGCACCCCATGGGAGACCCCCAGCGAGACCACCCTGATGAGCCCAGAACACCAAAGAACCATGAGAGAGACTACGAAATTGTTTCAGGCCACTGAGTTTCAGGGCTGTTTTCTTCCGCAGCAATAGTCATCAGGAATATTGACCCTTCCTAATTAGCTATCACAGCACCTCTAACCACCAGACATTATACAAGCTGTTTGTTTACTGTCTTTTTCCCCCTCTTGGTTTTGTTTACTACTATTCCTAATGGTTCATTGTTTCATTGAGTTAGACAAGGCTGTGGTCCATGTGATCAGTTTCATTAGTTTTCTGTGATTGTGGTTTTCATTCTGTCTGCCCTCTAATGGATAAGGATAAGAGGTTTATGGAAGCTTCCTGATGGGAGAGACTGACTGAGGGGGAAACTGGGTCTTGTTCTAAAGGGCAGGGCCATTCTCAGTAAATCTTTAAACCCATTTTCTGTTGATGGGCAGGGCTGTGTTCCCTCCCTGTTGTTTGATCTGAGGCCAAACTATGGTGGAGGTAATGGAGATAATAACAACCTCCTTCAAAAGGTCCCAGCATGCACTTCTACACTCAGTGCCCTGACCCTGCAGTAGGCCACTCAATGAAACTAGGGGCCATGCCGTGTAGAGCCACCCAAGATGGACAGGTCACCGTGGAGAGTTCTGACAAAACGCAGTCCACTGGAGAAGGGAATGGTAAGCCACTTCAGGATTCTTGCCTTGAGAACCCCATGAACAGTATGAAAGGCAAAAAGATACGACACTGAAAGATGAACTCCCCAGGTCAGTAGGTGCCCAACATGCTACTGGAGATCAGTGGAGAAATAACTCCAGAAAGAATGAAGAGACAGAGCCAAAGCAAAAACAACACACAGTTGTGGATGTGACTTGTGATGGAAGTAAAGTCCGATGCTGTACAGGGCAATACTGCATAGGAACCTGGAATGTTAGGTCCATGAATCAAGGCAAATTGGAAGTGTTCAATCGGGCAATGCTAAGAGTGAACATCGACATTTTAGGAATCAGTGAACTAAAATGGACTGGAATGGATGAATTTAACTCAGATGACCATTATATCTACTACTGTGGGCAAGAATCCCCTAGAAGAAATGGAGTAGCCATCATAGTAAAACAAAAAAGTCTGAAATGCAGTATTTGGATGCAATCTCAAAAACAACAAAACAATCTGTTTGTTTCCATGGCAAACCATTCAATATCACAGTAATCCAAGTCTATGTCCCGACCAGTAATGCTGAAAAAGCTGAAGTTGAACAGTTCCATGAAGGCCTACAAGACCCTCTAGAACTAACACCCCAAAAAGATGTCCTTTTATTATAGGGGACTGGAATGCAAAAGTAGGAAGTCAAGAGTTACATGGAGTAACAGACAAATTTGATCTTGGAGTACAGAATGAAGCAGGGCAAAGGCTAACAGAGTTTTGCCAAGAGAATGCACTGGTCATAGCAAACACCCTCTTCCAACAACACAAGAGAAGGCTCTACACATGGACATTATCATATAGTCAATAGCGAAATCAGACTGATTATATTCTTTGAAGTCAAAGATGGAAAAGCTCTATACAGTCAGCAAAAACATGACCAGGAGCTGCCTATGGCTCAGATCATGAACTCCTTACTGCCAAATTCAGACTTAAATTGAAGAAAGTAGGGAAAACCACTAGACCATTCAGATATGACCTAAATAAAATTCCTTACGGTTATATAGTGGAAGTAACAAATAGATTCAAGGGATTAGATCTGATAGACAGAGTGCCTGAAGAACTATGGACGGAGGTTTGTGACATTGTACAGGAGGCAGGGATCAAGACCATATCCAAGAAAAAGAAATGCAAAAAGGCAAAATGGTTGTCTGAGGCGGTCTTACAAATAGCTATGAAAAGAAGAGAAGTGAAAGGCAAAGGAAAAAAGGAAAGATATACCAATTTGATTGCAGACTTCCAAAGGATAGCAAAGAGAGATAAGAAAGCCTTCCTCAGTGATCAATGCAAAGAAATAGAGAAAACAATAGAATGGGAAAGACTAGAGATCTCTTCAAGAAAATCAGAGATACCAAGAGAACTTTTCATGCAAAGATGGGCACAATAAAGGACAGAAATTGTATGGGCCTAAGGAAATAGCAACCCACTCCAGTATTCATGCCTGGAAAAATCCCATGGACCAAGGAGCCTGGGGGCTATAGTCCATGGGGTCGCAAAAAGTTGGACATGACTGAGCGACTTCACTCACTCACTCAACAGAAGCAGAAGATATTAAGAAGAGGTGGCAAGAATACACAGAAGAACTATACAAAAAGATCTTCATTAAAAAAAAAAAAAAACTTCATGACCCAGTTAACCATGATGGTGTGATCACTCACCTAGAGCCAGACATCCTGCAATGTGAAGTCAAGTTGGGCCTTAGGAAGCATCACTATGAACAAAGCTAGCGGAGGTGATGGAATTCCAGTTGAGCTATTTCAAATCCTAAAAGATGATGCTGTGAAAGTGCTGTGCTCAATATGCCAGCAAATTTGGAAAACTCAGCAGTGGCCACAGGACTGGAAAAGTTCAGTTTTCATTCCAATCCCAAAGAAAGACAATGCCAGAGAATGCTCAAACTATCGCACAATTGCACTCATCTCACACGCTAGTAAAGTAATGCTCAAAATTCTCCAAGCCAGGCTTCAACAGTACATGAATCATGAAATTCCAGGTGCTCAAACTGGATCTCGAAAAGGCAGAGGAACCAGAGATCAAATTGTCAACATCCGTTGGATCATCAAAAAGGCAAGAGAGTTCCAGGAAAATATCTAGTTTTGCTTTATTGACTATGCCAAAACCTTTGACTGTGTGGATCACAACAAACTGTAGGAAATTCTTAAAGAGAAGGTAATACCAGACCACCTGACCTGCCTCCTGAGAAATCTGTATGCAGGTCAGGAAACAACAGTTAGAACTGGACACAGAACAACAGACTCATTCCAAATTGGGAGAGGAGTACATCAAAGTTGTATATTGTCACCCTGCTTATTTAACTTATATGCAGAATACATCATGTGAAATGCTGGGCTGGATTAAGCACAAGCTGGAATCAAGATTTCTGGGAGAAATATCAATAACCTCAGATATGCAGATGACACCACCCTTATGGCAGAAAGAAAAGAACTAAAGAGCCTGTTGATGAAAGTGAAAGAGGAGAATGAAAAAGTTGGCTTAAAACTCAACATTCAGAAAACTAAGATCATGGCATCTGGTCCTATCACTTCATGGCAAATAGATGGGGAAACAATGGAAACAGTGACAGATGTTATTTTCTTGGGCTCCAAAATCACTGTAGATGGTGAAAGACGCCTGCTCCTTGGAAGAAAAGTTATGACCAACCTAGACAGCATATTAAAAATCAGAGATATGACTTTGTCAACAAAGGTTTGTCTAGTCAAAGGTATGGTTTTTCCAGGAGTCATATATGGATGTGAGAGTTGGACTATAAAGAAAGCTGAGTGCTGAAGAATTGATGCTTTTGAACTGTGGTGTTGGAGAAGACTCTTGAGAGTCCCTTGGACTGCAAGGAGATCCAACCAGTCCATCCTAAAGGAAATCAGTCCTCGAAGAACTGATGCTGAAGCTGAAACTCCAATACTTTGGCCACCTGATGCGAAGTACTGACTCATTTGAAAAGACCCTGATGCTGGAAAAGATTGAAGGCAGGAGGAGAAGGGGTTGAGAGAGGATGAGATGGTTGGTGGCATCACCAACTCAATGGACATGAATTTGAGTAAACTCCGGGAGTTGGTGATGGACAGGAAAGCCTGGCATGATGCAGTCCATGGGGTTGCAAAGAGCTGGACTCGACTGAGCGACTGAACTGAACTATACTCTTAATTGGCTTCCCAGGTAGCACTGGTGGTAAAGAACCTACCTGCCAACGCAGGAGATGTAAGAGATGCAGGTTGAATGCCTGGGTCAGAAAGACCTCCAGGAGGAGGGCATGGCAACCCACTCCATTATTCTTGCCTGGAGAATCCCCTTGAAGAAAGGAGCCTGGAGGCTACAGTCCGCAGATTTGCAAAGTGTCGGACATGACTGAGTGACTAAGCACACATACATGAATTCTTAACACTTAAGAGCAGTGCCTGGCATGCAGCTGATGCTCAATAAATATTCTATAAATAGATGAATGAATCCAGGGAACTCCCTGGCAGTCCAGTAGTTAGGACTCTGTGCTTTCCCTGCTGAGGCCCAGGTTCAATCCCTAGTTGGGGAACTAAGATCCCACAAGCCACACAGCATGGCCCCCAAAAAAAGAACAGGCAAAAAGACAAATGAACCCAAAGACATTTTCCCCCAAATCACAAAGCAACAGTCAGTGTGATTCCATTAGTTCTCAAGAAGCCTAACACTGAGCACAGGCCAGGCATCAGATATGGTTGTATTTATTCACTCAGCAGTCATTTATTAAGTTTCAATTATGTGCTGCTTTCCTGGTGAATCAGTGGTAAAGAATCCATCTGCAAGGGAGGAGACACAGGAGATGTGGGTTTGATCCCTGAGTGAGAAGATCCCCTGGATGAAGAAATGGCAACCCACTCTGTTATTCTTGCCTGGAAAATCCCATGCACAGAGGAGCCTAATGGGCTATAATCCATAGGGCTGCAAAGAGTCGGACATGACTATGTGCTAAGCCCTACAGACAACAGTGAACTAAAACAAAAGTCCCTGCCCTCACTCTAGTTGGGGGAGACGGGCAACAAAATAAATAAGGAGATTACACTGCATACTAGAAGGTACAACTTGCAAAGAAGAAAAATAGAGCAAAGAAGAGGGAGACAGAGTCCTGGGGTCAGGTTGGAATGTTAAGTAAGTTGACTAAGTGTACATCAAGTCCCCTACATATGGACAAGCTCTGTTCTGAGGGTGCGTTGGTAAGAACAATTTGTTCATAAGTCCAACAAAATTAACACAATCAGCTATTTAGTACTGTAATAGGTTTATAATATTGATACTTCTCACACAAATAATACCTAGAAAACAAACACAAAAAATAGAGAAGGCATTTTCAATCTTACAGCACAGGACCTTGAAAAGTAGAGAA